AGGAATGACTTCCCCCCCACCCCCTTCAGCATTAAGTGGGCAGGGAAACTCAATTGTGCAGTGTTTCAGGGAAAGCAAGCACAAATGACTTTTAAAGGAGTCACCAAATTTAAATTCAAACCCAGTTATCAGTGCATAATGCCATGGGCCTGGTTCTGCTTTGCTGTAGGGCTACCAACACGTGGAATAAGACACTGCATGCCTCGCTTGCATGCTTGAGGATTTTGTAATGGCGTGCCTGTGCAGGTACCCTGCTGTTCAATCCGCAGCCCACTCCTGATTCATTCATAGAGCTGGTGAGCAAGGAAGCAGACACATGATGGCGGAAAGCAGGGGAGATTGGGACTAAATCACAGTACTGAGTCTAGCATTACTTTCTACCCATGTCTACTCTGAAAAAACTCTGTTCTGCTAGCACACCAAAACCCTGTGCTCTCTGCTCTGCCTTGCCCAGGATTGAGAGCATAGTAAAACACAGTCCCTGACACATGCACAAAACTTAACTCTCTGTCAGCACTGCTATCATCATACACATGTTGCTCAGCACAGCCCAATTATCTCATGAACAGTAATAAAGACAACTCAACAGCTGGCATGTTGCCTGGTTTCCGGATTCCAGTGTCAGAGTTATTAACATTATGGATGGGGCAGTATTAGGTGGATGCAAAGCTAATGCATTGCAGTCATTCTGAGAAGTCTGTCCAGTGATGAGGTGACGAGGGGCTTGTAGGGGGTGGGAGGGAATATAGAAGGTATGGGAGTCATCAACAGACACTTGGCAATGTTTAATAAAAGTACATTTTTAATTTCGAAACCAGAATAAATGCCCCTTGAGGCTCTCCCTCTGGATGGGATCTCTTGCTTGAGGTCTCTTTGGAGAACTCAATTGCCAGTTGCGGAAATGGTGACAGGAGGAAGTTTGAACTTCAGCCTAAACACACAAACGAGGGTAAGCAGTTGGCCAAATGCTGAATCCTAAAAGGTTTGCCATAGTCAAGGCCTCAGCGAGCAAAAGAATCTGCCAGGCCTTAGCTGTAGGGTCTTGAAAGAGTAGGTACAGGATTCTGTAAAAGGTGATTGCTGGAACTTCAGCATCCAGGTTGCATAGATGTAGATTGTGAGAGAAGGAAATGGAGGGCTCAGCTACCGACTGGAGTGAAAGATGATTACATAATTCATGAATGGCTGAAAAACAGGAGACAATGCAAGCCTTATAACTAAGACTGGGGGTTCTTGCCCAGGTGGACCAAATCAGTAACAAACCCAGTGCCTTATTCCTGATTTGAATTTTTTTGGTTTCAGCTTCTAGTCATTGCTTCCTGAAGACCCAATTAGATCAAGAGTTCTTTAGGATGCAGACTTTTCTCTTCATGAAGATACTTCTGCACTGTTATCAGGTTACTTCTCAATCTTCTTTTTTTGATAAGCTAAATGAATTGTGTTGACTAGTAAGTCTGTCACTGTTACACATTTTTTCGAAACCTTGAATGAATTTTCTATTTTCTTTTCTCCTTATTCTTTCATAAGTAGACACCTGAACTGTACACAGTACATTACAATATCAGCCTCACCCTTACCCTTACTTTTTCCCAAAGCATCTGAGTGGGAACTCATGTTAAGTTGTTCTTGTACCGAGAATCCTAAATCCTCTATACAGCTATTGCCTTCCAGAATACAGTCCCCCTTTTTTGTGGTTATAGCCCACAGTTCTCCTTCCAAGACGTATAACTTTGTATTTCGCTATATTAAAATGCTTTTTGTTAGAATTAACCTAGTATACCAAGCAATCTGGATTGCCCTGTTCTCATTCAGTGAAACAAACCAAAATTATTCATTGGTTTAAAATGTGTTCATATTGTTTTCCATTCTTTCTTTGACTTTTTTTCTTTTTATGAAGGTAGAAAAAGACAAAGGGAATGGGAACCAAAAACCTGAAATGTGTTAACAATTTTCAGTGCAATTTGTTTCATCCCAAAATGTAAATGAAAAGTTTTCATTTCATTCAAAATTTTTCATGGAAAATACTTCCTATTTATTAATTAGCCCTACGTACTATTAGACTGAGCATTTCCTTGCTGTCTGTGTGTCTTCATGCATTTGGTAATGTGAGTTCTTTTTAGGGGTCATTTTACTGTGCTTCTGGGGCTGATCCTCAATTGGATGGAGATTGAAATGTCCATCTCTGTCTCACAGGCACTAAAATGCTAAGAATGCATGAAATTTTCCATATGGGGTAAGGATGTGGCCAGATCTGAGTTCTAGTTTTGCTTTCCTGACAAGGTTTGGTGTGCAGCATAGCAACAATTATGCAGTTCCTACATGATTATGAGTTTGTTACAGTAGTATAGCATGCAAAAGGAAGCTTGATCCTCTGATGGCAATGTAAAACACATCACTCTCTGTAATACATACATGTATCCGTTTGAGTTCCAAGTATCACCGGGTGGGGCCATAAGAAAAACCAAGAGCAGCTGTGGTGGTGAAACAGAGCGAATAAAGTTTGAATTATTGTTAACATATGTACCGTTATAATAAAACCCCAATCCGATCACTTACATGAACACAACATATTGTTGAATAAACCCCCTCTGGATACATTTGTATTCCAAAGTATGTCATAAGGAAAGATTAACAGTTTTGGAAACGGATCTTTTCCTTGGGATGCAGATTTCATTTCCTTGCCTGGTATTCTTGGAAACCTTTCAAGAAACTAAAAGTAAAAAAGAAAAGCACACAAAAGAGTGGGTGTTAAACCTGACTAGTGTCACATTGTTTTGCTTAGTTAACATCACAGTCAGGCCCCAAAAGGACAACCTGCAAGCCAGAGATGATCACCTGGTCTTCAGAAGGCTCTCTTCCCATTGCACTATAGACTCAGAGACAGCATTGGGATGGGGGAGGATTGAACCTAGGAAAGTTTGGGATTTTGCAGAAAAATTTAGAACTTCTTTAAAAAAAATCTCTCCTATGGAAATAACAAAAGATGCAACAAACAAATCTGAAATAAAGAGATGGGTTTCCATTTTAGAAACTAGGAAGACTCATAGTCTCACGGTTCCCATTCTCTCCCATTGGGATCCTTAGAAAAACAGTTGGTTGTCATATCTTTCCTATCTCTTTATCATTTTTGCCTGGTCACATTCCCTCCTGATGTACATCCTACAACTCTCTTCAAGTCAGTAGGCCAGGTCCTTATCTCATGTGAGTAGCCTGTGTTGTGGCAGAAAATGAGACAATCTTTTCTGGGCTTAAACCTGTGAAATTATGAAAGAAAATGAGGGCAATATCAAAGATATGGTGCTGCAGCCTTTTATACCAGCTGAGCATCAAGCCCATTCACTTCCAAAAGGATCAAGTGTAGTAGGACTTGAGGCCTGTCAATTGCCAGCTTTCCGCATCTCTCTTAAATTTTTCCTCACTTGCAAATCAAACAACCATCTTTCCTTCAGCATTACACTCACTAATGCTTAAGAAATAGGATCCAAAAAGAGCAGAGATAAATTACTGTTATGGGCTAGTGATGTACTATGAACCAAAGCCAAAGGTATAAAATATGAAGTCAATTGCTATCTTACACTCAGGCCAGTTTCCAAGGGCCCTCATGCTGCTCCCATTCACTGCAGCAGAGCCATGAACAATGCAGAAAAAAATGTTTTCTGATTATTGGCTTTTGCTAAAGCATGGTCCATTCTAAGTGAAAAACATGGAGCTTAGCTCACAAAGCAGAACCTCTGGATTTAACTGTTCCTAGAGAGTGTCAGGAATAAGCACTGGAGAAAGGAAGGAAGGAAGGAAGGAATTAGGCCTGTGCGAAGTGGCTAGTGTTCACTTCAGATTCAGATTCAGCTGATTTGGGGTACAGTGATTTGCTTCAGTGATTTGAATCACTGCCCCAAATCGATTTGTCCAAATCTGATTCGGAGATTCGGCTGCTTCTGAATCTTTGAATCAGCCAGGCCAGGCCCATCCTCTGCCCGATCTCCCAGCCTGGCAATGGCTGCCCTGCCCACCCCAGCTCCTGGCACTTTGGGAAAAGAAGCCCCGACTCACTGGGTGCTGCTGGGCAGGAGGGCGATCCCTGCTGCCCCCCCACTGCCCCACGCTGTGTGGGGGGCTCCCTCCCAATGGTTGCCCTGCCTACACCAACTACAGCCCTTTAAGGGGAAAAAAACTCTGGCCTCGCCAGTTCCTGCCTGGCAGGGGACAATCCCTACTGCCCCCTGCTGCCCTGTGCCACATGGGGGGCTCTTCCATGAGTCCCTTAAAGCTGCTGCAAGAGCCGGTGAATCCCAGGGTTTTTTCGTAGGCCCTTAGCCATATGAGTGGCCCTTCTCTGGACCCTCTCCAGGTTATCCGCATCCCTCTTGAAGTGCGGCGCCCAGAATTGCACGCAGTACTCCAACTGCGGTCTGACCAGTGCCCGATAGAGGGGAAGTATCACCTCTTTGGATCTATTCGTCATGCATCTGCTGATGCACGATAAAGTGCCATTGGCTTTTCTGATGGCTTCGTCACACTGCCGACTCATGTTCATCTTGGAGTCCACTAGGACTCCAAGATCCCTTTCCGCTTCCGTGCCACCCAGCAGGTCATTCCCTAGGCTGTAGGTGTGCTGGACATTTTTCCTCCCCAGGTGCAGCACTTTGCATTTCTCCTTGTTAAACTGCATTCTGTTGTTTTCTGCCCACTTGTCCAACCTGTCCAGGTCTGCTTGCAGCTGTTCCCTGCCCTCCAGCGTGTCCACTTCTCCCCATAGCTTTGTGTCATCCGCAGACTTGGACAGAGTACACTTCACTCCCTCGTCCAAGTCGCTCATGAAGACATTAAAGAGTATCAGTCCAAGGACCAAGCCCTGCAGGACCCCACTGCCCACACCCTTCCAGGTCGAAACTGACCCATCCACCACGACTCTCTGGGTGTGACCCTCTAGCAAATTCGCCACCCACCGGACTGTGTAGTCATCTAAGTCACAGCCTCTTAACTGAGGCCACCAAATCAGGCCGAATCTCATCCTAATCGAATCACCACCCGAAGCTTCACACAGCCCTGGAAAGAAGGAAGGAAGGAAGGATTCATACTATTTTAATTTCTAAAGTCTTTCCCAGTCTATGGTTTTCACTCATCTCAAGGAGCAGGAAAGTCTCAAAAGCACAAGACTGGGGTGAGCATCACTGAGAAATTAAGAAGATGCAATTTCCATTGTCCTGGTGTGGCCTTATCTTCTGAAGATGGGTGAATTGCCTGCAACAAACTAAGAGCTGGACTAATCTTTCATATCCAGTTCCTTTTTTGCAACTTTGTAAGGTCATAAATACTTTAGATCACCTTTTCTTTTGCCTCTACATATACCCCTTTCTGCTTCTGGGTTCTGCCACTATAAGCAAGGCCATATAAATGCAGTTCCTGTTCCTCTGTATCTGACTGTGGGCGACAGCAGGGTAGGGCAGTCACCTCTGGGTGAATAACCTCATCTGGAAGTAAAAAGCAAGGTTTTTTACAAGCATCGCCAGGTTCAGTCAGGATGAGGAACTTCTTAGCTATATTCCAGTAATTAAATTGTTTCCTAAAGGAGACCCCCTACAGACAGGCCCCTTAATTCTGGCAGACATTTATCTATCCCAGACCACTTGGGCCCTGCTCTCTGTTTTTCAGAATCTGCTGTCCACATTTCTCTGATGCTCTTTACATTTTCATTTCATCTGATAAAACACTGGGCCTGAGGGCCTTTGTGCTACAGCCTCTGAGTCAGCTCATCTGCATACCTGTACTGGGTTTATTGGGTTTGGAGATGGACTCAAACTGGAGTCTGTGAGTTTCAGTTCTGTGGTTCAGAGTAGATGCCCACCTGCCTAATAAGTCAAAGCAGAACATGGGTTTTGAATGGCCCAGCAAGCTGGGCCCCATCTCAGATTAGTTTATTGCACAGAACTTTGAAGCCTCTGATGAGCCAGGTCCATTTCTCTAACAGATAGAGAGGGTATATTTCATAAGGAATCAAAAATACCTTGTAAGTAAAGCCTTTCCCTAAACCCTTTAGTGCCCTCTCCACCCCTCATTCAGCCTGTTTTCTCTCCACTCCCTCTATCACTGGCATACTTTGTACTGCATTTTAATCGAGTCTCTCTCCTCTCAGCCCCTCTCACTTCTGATAAGGAGTGAGCTGCTTGTCTTGCTCAATCCTTACCGTCACTGCCGATGTGAATGATGGTAAGGAAAGGCTGCGCTGGAGTGTTACTTGGAAACTGTCTGCACAAATGTAGATCCTTCTTCCTGCTGACTGGGGGACTAAATGCCTCCCGGGTTTCTTAGTAATGGCAAGATTGAGCAAAACGTATTGCAAGCTTTTTCTCTCATAGCTGTTCAGCTGCATACATGACAAGAGTTTGCCAGGTCTTGGTCCAGCTCCTAGAAAGCAGGTAACACTATCTGACGGCCTTGTCAGGAAGGTGCCCCAGGCCAGTGAAAATACAGGGAGACATGGAGTGAGACAAAAATACCCACCAATCCACATGCTGTCCCACTATTGAACCTCTAATCAGACTCTTACCCAAAATAAAAATACTAAAGTGATCCTGCAAGCCTTGAGACTCCATGGTTAGACAGAAGGATGATTAAGAAAGCAAACTTATTCTCTTGTCTCACGATACCCAGAAGTACCATATTCAGTGAAAAAGAGAAGATGGCATAGGGACACAGACAGTGACATAGACCAAGGCTGTCCAACTAGCAGCCCCCAGAGGGTTAGCATGTAGCCCACAGGCTCTCAACATGGCCCCCACCTCTTGGCCCACCACCCTCCTCCAGCTTCTATTTCCTGCTTCCACTCCTGGGGACAGGGGGAGGGGGATAGGGGGAGGGGCACAGCAGGACGAGGTTGGGGGTGCATGCATTGCATGCAACAAAAGCAAAAACAAGGTTGCCTGCACTTCAGGTGGGCATGTGGCCAGGAGGGGAGAGGGGTGCTGCATGTGTGGTAGAGTAGAGCTGGGTTGCCTGGGAGGGGAGAGAGGAGCTGGACTGCCTGTATGGCCTGGGAGACAGTGGGGAGCTGGGCTGCCTGCTGAGTATATGTGGGGAGGGGGAGAGGGCATGTGAGACTCCCCCTCTGGCAGGGGGAGAGCCTGAGGAGGGTGAGTAGCCCTCAGTCTGTGGCCTACACCTTGCATCCCCCAAGACTGGGGTCTATGCAGCTTGTGGCCCCCAGCTGTCCAGAAGTTGGACAGCCCTGACACAGGCAATGGAGGCACAGCTTGAAGACAAGGTCTTGAGAAGGCCTGACCACAAGTCCTTGAACAGTGGGTGCAGGAGTGTTTTCTTTATCATCAGAGCAGAAGGACTGTAGCAACTGCAAGTTAAGTGGTGCTTCAGGCATCAGTATGGACTGTTAATGATTCTCAAGTCCTTTGCGTACCTGTTCCCTTACTTGGAAGTGCACAAGGAAGGACAAGGTCAAAGCATGGGTATATCAGAGTGTAAGACTTGGTGTGAAGACCATTTCTGTCTATGGACTTCTCTGCATGAGTGACTTGGTCCATCATTCATGCAGAGTCCTGCTTACTGCTTTTACTTTGTACGAGAAATACTCACTACCCTGCTTGCAGCAACTAGCCTAAAAGAGCATATATAGAGCTAAAATTGGAAAAACTACCATTTAGGAGAAAGAAGCACCTGCCATGAAATCTGCAGCAC